AATTAAGTGCTAAGCTTTTCACATGAAAATAAGCAAAATTAATAAAAAAACATGCAACCTGTCAAAAAGATAGGGAATTAGATTCCAAACCCACCAACATCCAATTTTGTACCTTCAACCGTTGTAAAAAGTTCGAATAACACCCTTTTAAAATAACCTAAATCCTTTCCCACTCAATTATTCATATGAACTATAAGACAAAATAAATTTAAAAAGTATAATGCTCTGTATATTTCAATCACAATATTTCAATCACAAAATATTTACATTTCAATGTTTTTCAAACAATTTTATATTGAGTTTATCAATAATGAGATTTAATGGAAAAATACGAATATCAGTGAGATTTAAGTTAACTATATAAAGAATTGATATCATTTTCTACTTAAAACTTTAAGACAATGAATCTTTCATTTTTATATGGTGTTTTATTTTATCATTTTTATTGAAAATAAGACTTGAACTCACTTAAATTTTTAATATATATTGTTCTATAAAAACATATCAATATATTGTAATTGATTAGGACTCTTAAACATGTAATTGAAAGCTTTTTTTTTATTCAACAGACTATGTTAATGCAATCATTAAGATAATATTGCATTCTGGAGTTTAAGTATACTAAAATAATATTACTAGAATTAATGATCATATATTTAGCTACTTTAAAAACTTGATTTTTGTACCATAACTCTATCTTTAAAGAAAGATTCAGTAAATCAAGATGATTTAAAGAAATAACTTGATTTTTTCAGTTTCTTTAGCTGAAAATGTATAAAATGCTTAGAGAGGAGTGGTTTGGTTTCAGTTTTGGAAAGAAAAAGGATAGCATAATGGCGTCAAATAATGGAAGATTTTTGTCGTAGAGAAAGGGAAAATTGTAACTTTGGTTTTTAAGTGTGGAAAGTGATAATTTTCCTAACAACCTAACATAAAGTATAATTAACGTCAATTATTGGAGAAGAAAGGTGGACTCACAAAATACTTTTATGTAATTAATAAGGAGAAATGAAAGGAATATGTTATTTTTCTTAAATTTATTTGCTCCAAAAGAATTTCTTAGGATTCTTTTTATTTATTCAACATTATCCTTTTCCACCTTCTTCTTGCTATCCTAAAAAAGAGAGGACGTAATTTTTTTATATCTTTATGTGTAATGATGATTTGCTATATTTATATGAATATGACGGTTCATATTACAAATCAAAATTGATTTTATTTGAAATTGTCACCTGAATAAATTTGCAAAATACAAGTACGAAATAGAAGCATACGAATATAATTCGTAGTATACTTCCGTAGAGAGGTATAATGGGTACCAGATGTCGACGTGGCAGTAACGATTCCCGACCAAGAGCATCTGATGACAAAATGATTGATGATTTGGTGCATGGATGCACATATTAAATTATTTATTTATTTATTAATATTTTATGCGACCATAAATAAATTACATGGCAAATGCCAAAATTGGACCCCACCACCCCCACTTCCATGCACAATCTATGCCCACTCCTTCTCTCTCTCTCTCTCACTTTTACTGTTTCACACCTAACTAATTTTTGTTGGATAACAAAACTATTCAGTAAATTACTAAAAAAGGTACAAAGATCAAAGAAAAGATATCGAGAATTTGGCATATTTTTGTAAGAAAAAGATTTGAAAAACTAGTATGTTCTTACATCATTATATATCTTACAAATTTCCCAATTATTTAAATGAGTTAATATGTTTTATGGAAAATTGAAATTTCATGTTTGAAATTTTAATATATTTGGGCTTCCAAATCTTAAAAATACATATGTATAATCATTTTAATTTTACGTATTAAATATGTTTCATATTAGTTGTTTATATTATTTCATACCGTGTAAATATTAATTAAAAAACGTGATTGATACATATTAAAAATATTTAAAATCATTGGATTAAAAATATTTTATTAATTCATCGTTAAAATTCAAATTACTAAAAATATATTTAACTCTATTTAAATTAACTTTATTTTTAACATTTAATTTTTTATATGTAAAATTACTAAGTTTATTCTTTATGTATTTTCCTTTTCACTCTGTCACGCTTCTTTTACACGAATAAACCATATAAATAATTTTTTTTAATCAGTTATATTAATCTCTGTTTTGTTCTCAAAGAAACTTTGAAAACTTTAAATCTGAATATCTGAGTTGAGAACTGCCGCTGCTCTTGTTTCCATTAAAGATTTTTTTATCAATTTTTACAATAAGGAAGACGAATTTTCAAATTTTTTCTTAAAATAAAAAGAAATAAATAAAATCATCGAATATTATATTATTTTTCTCACCAAAATACTAGATCCTTTTTAACATTTCATTGCAATTTTTTTCTTCTATATTTAAATATTCATATTTAAAATGTTCGATATAAGCATACATTTTGTCAAACAACATTTTCGAATAACAAAATAATAGAAAAGGAAAAACAAAAGGACGTTAATAAGATATGTACTTTCTAAGGACAGAGCTAGGTTATAACGAAATAACTGAATTGATCATTCAATATATTTTCAATACATTAAAAACTATACAATTTTCTTTACTGTAATGAACTTTGGTCAAGAGCTAAAGTGGTTTAATAACGTGTCATGATTATTTTATTTCATTTTGTTTATGTATTAATGGTGTTGAATTGATTGTTTTAACTTTCACAAATATAATTTTAATCATTTAAATTTTAATTATATTAACATTTAAAGTATCATCATTGAAAAAATATAGTTTCACTTACTTTGAAACTAAATACACAGTGACTTATATGTAATAGTTGAATACAATTATATATATGTGTGTGACACTCAAGAATTGTACAATTATGCTAATTGAAGAACCAACCAAAACTGCAACTAAGCGAAACAAAATCTATTGCCTAGTTGGTTAATTTGTTAATTATATTATGATTAGTTTAATTGATTATCAATTATTAAATTATTTACTATCTAATACTAAAATAATTTTTCATTTTAAATACATACTTTGATAAATAAAAAATTCAACATAATAATATTTGATAAAATTTACAATTTCATTGTAAATTTTAGTTCCACATTGTTGTTGCTTATTTGATTTTCTTTTTGCTTTTCAATTTTCAACAAAGGCTTCCTCCTGCTTTAAAATTTCCAACAAGTCTAAAATGAAGAGAATACTCAAATTTCCATAATCCCATGTTTAAAGGAATTTTTCTTTAAAGGAATTAATTAAACAATAATCTTCCAAATTAGTTCTCAGCTGGTCATTCTAACATGTCATTATAACACTCAATGACATGAATAGAAATCATCATCTTCTAATTTCTATATCAGAAAAAAAAACCTTGGAGCTGGAAAAAAAACATTTATTATAAGAAATTCCAATAAATTAGACCAAAAGTTGTGAACATGTGGGCATTCACAATATATATATATATATATATCCTTTACTTTTAAGAAGTAGACAAAATGTTGTTGTGGCTCAAATTTTAGTGCCCTTAAGACATAAAATTTGTGACGTTGAATTAATAAATTTGGCATGTTTTTCCTTTGAGGAATATCTGAATTGTTTACTTTGTCTTTTATCAGTAGTTTATAGCTTACTGAGTGATGTCACTGGTGTTGGTGCTGTGCCCAAAAAGGATCTAACCACAACTTTAAGCCACTGCTTTACTGGGCCTAAGTATGAAAAAAGTAAAGCAATTACAGGCTAGCTAGTGCCAATTACTTTATATTTTAGGGTTTTGCTTTGCAACTCTTTTTTTTTTTTTTCAATCTGCATTTTCCCTCTCAATTACCACTTTACTGGTTTTCTTTAATTATTGTTCCTTGGACCACAATCTTTGCAAATCACGATTTTTCTGTCAATTGATCAAATCTTTGTGGTAGTGTGTGAAATTGATTTCATAAACTTAAACATGACGAATGCTCTTACACTGTCTGTGTTTACACCTTTGTGCATTTTACTCTTAAACATGTTCCAAAAGGTAATTGGAACAGACAACTATGGATAAAACAAGAGGAAAAAAAAGCTTCAAGTTAGAAGTTTGAAAGATAACTTAATATATACCAGTGCTTCATGACATTCACATATTATATATTTTTTGTTACACTACCTTTTAACTTTTTGAAATTAAAAAAAAAAATACACTGCAATTTTATTGTTAGTTCTTGATTTTGAATGAAAAAATATTGAGAAAATGATGTTGTTCTATATTTCATCTTTATCTTATGAACCTGATATAATGGTGAAATTACTATTTTAATAATAATTTGAAGGTCGCAAATCTTAAAACTGTCGATTTTTTGGTTGGGAATGAAAGACACCATCATTATTTATGGTTAATACGTGTTTATGAATTTCGGATTATTATGGTTAATCACTGTGCTGTGAAAGAGGAAGAAGTCAAAAAGTACTGCAACATGTGTACGAGATTATTACTATTCTTGCATGATTAAGAATTATTCATCTTTCGACATTTTTACAATTTTAATAGTCTGTATAATTCATTTTTCTTTTGTTATGTAGACTTTAATAATTGGTTTCAAATTTAATTTGTTAATCTATACAAAAGATAACAGCATGTATATAAATTTCCATTCTTATAGTAGTAATATATAACTTTTATTTGTTTTTTTTAGTGGGGGCCAATTTTAAAATTAAATAACATAAAGGGAAAAACTGGAAACAAGTTACTGCAAATTACTTTTACCTTTGTGTTGTGAACTTTATAGAGAATTATGCAGCAGAAGAAACTGGTGTAATATTGAGCAGTAAGTTGAAGGTTCTTAGAAGCAACGACTAGTATTGAATAGAATGAGAAATAGCATTGAATTTTGAGAAGAGTATGATATATATTATTATACGGCGTGGTGTTTTCATGCATGGGAGCCACCATGGCTTTTCTACGAACAAAAATTGAGAGGAAGAACGCGTGAAAAAGAAGCTTACAGGTTAAGATAGTTGCTCCACTTAAAACCCTAAAATATAATAAAACAAAAAGAGATGAGAATGGGAGAATAAGCGCAAAGCAAACAAAGTAAAGCCTCTTCTTGCTTTCCTCTCCTCCATCCTCTTCTTTTTCTCTTACTTTCTTGCCTCTGCTATTCCCTCTACCTAGTGCGATTCTACCTCCACCTTCTCCCTAAAGACCCATCAAACTTTATAAAAAAGAAACAAAAAAAAAAAAAACAAACACTCTCACACACACAAAAGGATCGAAGCACCATGGTTTTCTCTTCTATTCCAGTCTATTTAGATCCTCCCAATTGGCAGCAAGTAAGGTTTCAATTCCCTCAAATCTCAGCCACAGTTTTCTAAACCCTAAAACCAAATCACAAAATGATAAATCGTTAATATTCCTATTCCTTCTTTGCAATCTAATCTTCCTGAATATACCAGATTTTTTTTCATACTATTTCTCTCTTTCTTTTGCTCTGCAGCAACAAAATCAACATCAGGCAAATGGCAGTAACAGTCCTCAGATGCTTCCCACCATGCCTCAACACCCACAGGATCCTCACGTCGGAGTTCATGAAGCTGCAGGCTCAATCCGGCCCGGTTTGATGGCGGATCGGTCTAAGATTCCGGCCCAGGAAGGAGCTCTCAAGTGTCCTCGCTGTGAATCCACCAACACAAAGTTTTGCTACTTCAACAACTACAGCCTCTCTCAGCCGCGGCACTTTTGCAAGACTTGTAGGCGTTATTGGACAAGAGGTGGCGCTCTCAGGAACGTTCCTGTCGGTGGAGGATGCCGTAGGAACAAGAAGAACAAAAGGAGTCGCTCCAAATCTCCGGTTCCTACTGAGAAATCATCACTTCCCAATCCCACAAACGCTATGCCTGAGCTTATTGGTCGATTCCCACAACCTTTCATGGCCTCTCTTCAGAGTATGAACCGCTATGGTGCAGGGAACGCTGGTGTTAACTTGCGTGAGATGCAAGCTCAGAACGGTTCGCATATGGGGTTTCAAATTGGTGGTCAGGGTCATGGTTCAAGTGTTACTGCTGCTGGAGGAGGATTGGAACAGTGGCGGTTTCAGCAATTTCCTTTCTTGAATGGTTTTGACTCAGCTTCTGCTGTTTCTTCCTACCCTTTTCAAACTGAAAGTGTTGAAGGTCTGGTTGGAGATATTGCCGCAAGTTCTAGGGTTACTCAGCTGCCACCACGAGTTAAATTGGAATACAACGGTGGTTTGAATTTGTCGAGATCTCCTTTGAGTGTGTCAGAAAATAGTAACCATTACTACTCATGGACGGATTTATCCGGTCTTGCATCTTCTTCCGCTAGTCATCTCTTGTAACTTTGATTGGTTAGAGAAAAGAGAAATTCTACGGTAGACACAGAAATGTAAGGGTTTTGGTACTGTTATTTTTTTTTATCAATAGTTGAATGAGTTTCCATCTAATCAAGTCACTCTCTCTGCTGACATGATTGAACTCGTTTAGTTATTGATCCAAAAAATAACTGTACCATTAAACTCTTACATTTTTTATATCAGTTCTAGGATGGCAGCACTCCGGGTTCCACCGTCTTCACGCGTCAGTGTTAACAGAAATCAGGCTGGTAGAATTTAGTCTTCAATTGTATATTTTCTTGTCATTGGTTTTGTTTATGTTTCTTCATCGAGCCTAGTGTCTTCTATGTTCTATTGAGCTTTCTGTGTAAAACAGTGTGTGCATGTACTGTGTTTTGTTTGTTTACTGCGCGATATCATTCGGTTCAATTCTTCTTTTGATCAGTTTGTTACTCTCTTACATGCTTCGTATCATACTCGGTGACTCACACTAGTGTTGCATTTCGTTCATGTATGGCGATAAGCTAGAAGCACGATAAAGCAAAGGTATCAAGACAGAAGAAAAGTGATACTGCTATATACGGTATTAAAGAACGTGCCACTGATCCACACTAACATTTATCGAGGCAGTGTTTCTCGGGATAACTTTGTTAGAAATTTCAAGCTTGAGCACTTTTCTCGTATCTTGCAGCCTCTCTATACAAGTTTACATTATCTTAATCAAAGTCATAAACATGGTTTTGCATACAAAGGTTGATTGTGTCGTGCATCTTGGAGGCCATAAACAGATAACATGAACAATAAAAAAGATATAGCAAGTTGGATAGTTCAGACAACTAGACTAAACATTATGGTAAGTCACTCTTTCCTTTTTCTCTTGATTTTTCTTTTCTTTTCTTTCTCTCTTCCGTGCATTTGCTCGTACTTCAGTTGCTATGGGGTTTCGCACGCACTCAAGATTTATTCTGAGAAAAACTTCTCAGAAACTTGACTGTGTTGACAGTCAGTCATTTAACGTCCATGGCTCTTTTCCTGTCCTCAAAATTGTCGCAAAATCAGAATTCCGAGGAAGCTCCAATCATTGTACTTTCAGCATATTCGTTGTAGGAAGTTTCCTTATCGCGTTGCGAATTTTCAGTTAAGAGTATTCACTTACACAAGCTGGAAGTAAAAAATGAGTGTGAATGGGAGAGAAAAAAGGAAGAGAGATCGATGGGCAGTGAGAGAAACTCGTAAAGAAAATATACATTCGATATGAGTCAACAGGCAAGACTAAGACTTTACGATGTTGTAATTATGAAATTAGATTTATAAGCTGGGACGTACAAATTTGTTTGTTTTTGAGGTTGAAAGTTGAAGTAAGATAACCAATCTTAGAAGACGCCAAAATGCCACTCAAAACCATGCAATTCGACCGAACTAAAGTCGGTGAGTATTCTAGAACTTGTTCAGCAGAATGATGCAAGAAAGAAACACAAATAATGAATGCATCATTTTAGGTCATATTATATTATGCACTCGAAAACAAAAGGAAAAGGAAAAGACTGGAGAAGATAAATGTGAACTTTTTTCTACGTATAATGATGTAAATCGCTCACCATCCACACTTGAGTTATCCGTGCGCTTCAGAGGTAACTGAATGCATGTGTTCAAACACTAATAATTACTAACTTTATTATTACAATACCACTGAGAATAAATGAAGTTATCTTTTAAAAAAGAAAAAGCAGATGATAACTTTTGTAAGGACCAATGCTGCCTTTCAACAACGAATAAAGCAACACGACCAGCAGTGACCAATCCAGACAAAAGCTCTCTCCGTGTCTGTGTTTCGTCAGCTAGTCATGGGACGTCTTAGCCAGCAGAAGATGGTTACCCTAATTCCAAAATTGTCGGTGTGAGTGGTTATTAAACGTGGTTAGTTGCATTATTTAATAGTTTTTTAGTTATAATTAATTATTGTTAGACATCATTCTTAATATAAATATTATATATGGTAATAGAGTTCATTAATTACTTGTGTTTAAAGATTAGGAGTTAAAAGAGACATGAGTAAGAGTTTATAAATAGTTGATGTATTTTTTTTAAAATGTGTGACGGCAAGTAATAATATTAAAAAAATTTATCCAAAGAGCTAGAAAATTGATATCGGAGTTAGAAAGCTTCAGTGTTTAAAAAGAGCTAGAAAATTTGAGAAAGATAGTCAATCAATCTTGTAAACAGTAAGACGATCTTAAAATGAAGGCTATTGGAAGGTTGTTGAAGATGGATGTGAAGAACTATCTAATACCATGAATTGGTCAAATGCCTAATTAAAAGCATTGATAGAAGTGTGTGTGAGGGACAATTGTACTAAGTTGTGGACGACTCCTGTTTTGAAAAGATTACAAGTACAAAATTAAAAAAAAAAAGTGTGAAATATATTGGAAAAGCCATATAAAGGAGACATTTGTACAAAGTATGTGAGACTTCAAACTCTTAGAAACGAACTTGAATATGAGGATGAAAGAGGCTAAAGGAATAGCCAGATACATCTCTTGGATTGAGACCATGGTGAATCAACTTGGAAGAAATGGAGAAACATTGCTCATTAACCGAGTAGTGGAGAAAATCTTGAGATTGTTAACCAATGACTTTGAAAATATACTATGCATTATTGAGGAGTCCAAGGACTTGCCAACACTCTCATAATGCTCGATGGGGATAGCTCGATGGAGCATGTAGATAGCCCAGATATCTTGCTAGAGCAAGTGGACATCTTGAAAATTTTGTTTGACACCTAGGTAGCTCAGTGGGGCAGACAAATAGCTTGGTTAAATTGGTGATCAAGTGGAAAGCTCAGTTAACTTGGTGAGACGTAAGTGGTGTATTTGTACAAATCAAATAACTCGAACATATGCGAAGATAAACTTGTTACTTAAAAGTTACAACTTGCAAAAGGTTATTTGCAACAAGAATTGAAAATGAAGTTAGAGACAATGCAAAATTACATTCAAACTTTAAAGAAATTAGGTTTTGCATAAATGACGTCTAGAACTTGAACAAGAAGTTTCAAATTTGTAAGAAAATTTTCAAGTTGAAAAGGATCTTAAGAGTTGCATTGGAAGTATAAGACATGAAGCGGTGACTCTTAAAAGGAGCTCAACCTATTGACAAGAACCTAACTAGGGACAAGGCGTCCAAAGTTGAAAACAAGAAGCCAAAGCAAAGAAAAAATCAATAATCAAGAATAAAAAAAACAAGTCCGTCACAATTAAAGCAAATCATGAATATAGTAAAGAATCTAACATCATGAAAATAACAAGCAAAAAGTTATTACACATGAAAAACCGTGACAAAAAATAGACGGATATAATAAAAAAAATATTTAAGTTTACAAGAGAATTTTGTTAGATAAATTTAAATTTGATTAGTCACATTTAATAATTTTTTTATTATAATTAATTATGTTAGAAGATTGTAAAGGTGAAACATGTTTATTATTCATATACTTGTTGTTCTGCCTTCAAAATACACCAATTTTTTTAATACTAATTTCAGTATATTTTTAATACTCAGCAGAAAAAGAAAAAAATTCAATCGATAATCCAGACTAAAATCTAAAAGAAACCTATTACATATCTCTCTACACTTTCTTTCGAGAATGGGATAAATTAAGGTATTTTTATCGAAATTGAACCTTTTTTTAGTAAAATATGTAATATAATGGTGGAACTTTAAACCACAGTCATGAATAGTTTTATATATTTCTGTATCTCTGATGTATGAAAGTTAGAGAGAGTTTGAGGAAAAGACGTAAAGAGCAATGTGGCCTAAATTTGCAGGGTGCCGCAACCGGCGAATGAACCAAATTCACGCATTTTTCGTGGATTAGAGAGAAATAATGCTCCAAGTATTCGAAAGGTGTTTTCAGAAGCAGTAAAAGAAAAAAAGCAGCAATAATAACAGTGTTTCAAGCATAAATGAAGAAACCTACACCATCGATTGAGTGTGATGAATTGCAAGACAAAAGAGACCCTTGGATTTGCTTTGTTTCCCTTTCCATTGTTTCATTTTACCCTATCATATATATGTATCTTCTAATTCTTTTTCTATGTTCTGACCTTTTCTTTTGACAGTGGCGTGGGACCTTAACCTTACGTGTTCATGGCATGGCAGATACCGTTACCAACTTAACTTAGAGTCGCCAATGTATTTTTTCTAAAAAGTAATTTTGCTCTTAAATAGATCTAAATCCTTTAACCAAGTAATTGTTGGGAATTCAAGTGTGTCTAAATCCTATATTGAATAGAAATGAGAAAGTAGAACACTATATTAGAGTGAAAGATCCATTAATTCATTGTTTAAAGTTTTGGGTAAAGAGTGGTGTCAATCCCTTATATAACTGGACTCATATCTCATTAGTATTGTGTCTTCAATCACCTTTTCAAGAAAAACTTTAAAAAAAGTTACAATTTTACATAGCACGCACGTCATTTTTTTAATGGGAAAAGTTACCTTCACACATTTCAAACCAGACAGAAACTAGCGAGTAACATTGTTAGATGAAGATGGAAAGTAAGAAAAGAGAGACAGAGGCAAAAGAAAAGCAAAGGTTGCTATGTATAGTCTCAGTTTGTACAATTTTATGTGCCACGCACTTATGTTTTCCTTTCTAGGTCTGTGTATCATCACCCTTTTTGTTCCAAAGAAAATTATAATTATATTTTTTTAAGAGATAGATTTTAAGTTTAACTTAATTTCATAAGATTAGTTTGTAATATAAGATTAGTACCTACTTATATTTTAAAACAAAAATATTATTCATTTGTTTAAAATATTATTCATTTGCGATGAATAGGTGTAAAGCAGTAAATGGAAATGGAAATGTAATGTTTGTATATTATCACCCTTATTTAGAATTTACCTTTTTTGTGCGTTAGGAAAATAAATAATTATAAGAGTTAGTTTAAATTGAAATGAAAATATATATTCAAATTTAATTAAATTAAATACTATCTTTTAAACAAAATTAATTATTCACATTCCCAAAATCATTTCCAAATCTGAAATTACATTTTCGAACACTCGTTTTCGAATTCTTTTATATTTCGGAATGACTATTCTAGAATTCATTTTCAGATCCAGAAATATCTTCTAAAATCCAATACAGATAAAAAGAAGAATTTTGAAACATCCATTTTGGAATATATTTCTAGATTTGAAAATAACTTTTTGAAACACCTATTCTAATTTTTTTTTTATATTTCTAAATTCAAAATGTATTTCTAAATTTAGAAATACATTCGAGAACCGTCATTCTGGAATAAAAAAAAATTCCAAACCAAGTATTCTAAAATTTATTCGACTTCTAAAATAAATAAAAAATGCATTATTTTGTACTTTGGAGTCCAGAATGCATTTCCGAATCCAGAAATACATTCCGATAA